GCGGGGGTCTGACCTCCAGCTCATGTTTTCCTGTGTTCACTTTCTACCTGGTAATGGTGAGCTCATCCTAACCCCCCTGGGGTAGCCCCCTATCCGGGTAGGAGGCTACTGTTTGCCCCTGCACAGATGGGTCTAGCGCACCAGCCTCCCCCACCACGACCTCACCACAGAGTGGCAGTTGCGAGCACACTCCTGGAAGCTCTGCCTTTCTTCCGCCTCTCCCAGAGAATGAAATTTCAGCATTTGTACAGCTCAGACCCACTGGCTGAAACTTTTCTACCTCCTGCTTCCCTGAGTGAAGTAACTGATAGAGGAAGTAGTACTTCTAACTGGATTTTAGAGTTCCTGAGTCTAGTCTATGTTTAGTCTATCTCTGTTTCACTCTCCTTCCCTCACCCCATAAACTGACATTTTGTAGATTTCTGGTAAATTACTGAGTCCAGAGTTGGAAGCCCTAAGAGGTATTTATTTTACTTCAAATCACCTTTAGTCATCAGAATCACCTGGAGGGCTTGTTAAAGCAGGAGCTGGCCTGACAATGTGAACTTCTTTTTTTTGTTTGTTTGTTTTTTTTTTTGTTTTTTTTTTGAGACGGAGTCTCGCTCTGTCACCCAGGCTGGAATGCGGTGGCCGGATCTCTGCTCACTGCAAGCTCCGCCTCCCGGGTTCCCGCCATTCTCCTGGCTCAGCCTCCCGAGTAGCTGGGACTATAGGCGCTCGCCACCTCGCCCGGCTAGTTTTTTGTGCTTTTTAGTAGAGACGGGGTTTCACCGTGTTAGCCAGGATGGTCTCGATCTTCTGACCTCGTGATCCGCCCGTCTCGGCCTCCCAAAGTGCTGGGATTACAGGCTTGAGCCACCGCGCCCGGCCAACAATGTGAACTTCTAACAGGTTTGCAGGGGATCCTGCTGCACTGTGGGACCAGGCTTTGAGACCTACTAGCCGCAGGAAGTCTCTTCCTCTCCTTCCTCCCTTCCTAGCTGTGTCTCTCCCTGAAGCCCACCTACAGGAGAGACGGGAGACATTATGGGCAGTGTTGTCTCAAGAAGGAATGTAAGGATAATTGGAATAAACAAAAGAAGAACTTGAATAACTCATCACAGTCACCGTTGATCCTTTGCCCAGGAAATAGTACTTCTTAATGTTTTTTTTTTTTTTCTTCCATGAACTCTCCTTTTATCCCTAGCAGAGAGGTTTTCTCTCAAGAAGATAATCTGTCATCTTTAGAACAGGATCTGAACCTTAATTCTTCTTTCTTGTGGGAGTTAAGTCCATTTACTTCTTATTCTGGATTAATTTCCCCTTTGCCATTGAATAAAACAGAAGACTTTACTAAGGGCCTACTTCATGCCAAGTAATGTGCTAATAGTGCTAAGTGATTTATGCGCATCGAAAGACCTTTGCCACAATTTCACAAACTATATGTTATTAACCCATTTTACAAACTAGCAAACTGAGGGTTAGGGAAGTTTTGTAGTTACTGGAGATCACAGAGCTAGTCATACGTTGAACAGAGATTCAAATCCTGGCTTGACTTCAAAGATCTGCCATAGATAGCGTTACACAAGTCTTACGCACTATAGTGAAAGACTTGTCACAAACAATTGTGTGATCTGTCACTTATTCAATACATGTATTTATTAAGCACATACTATGTGCCATGCTCTATAACAAGGTCCCAGGAATATAATGATGTACAAGACAGATGGAACTTTTCAAAACACATATTCCTAGATTGTCTCATGAAAATTTGTTTTTAATACTTTGTCCTTCGATGGACTTGCTCATCAAAGCATACATGTCATTAAACCCAGAAATTGCATTCCCTTCCTCTATTTCTTGCCAACCTCCTTTGACTTACAATTCATCTCAGTTTAACAAATTTGTTTCCTATTTTCCTTAAAGGAGTCTGTGTGTTGCTTTTATTTTTTAAATATTTTTAGTTTTTGGGCCAGGCACAGTGGCCCACGCCTGTAATTTCAGCACTTTGGGAGGCCGAGGGGGGCGGATCACAAGATTAGGAGATCAAGACCATCGTGGTTAACATGATGAAACCCCATCTCTATTAAAAACACAAAAAGTAGCCGGGTGTGGTGGCACATGCCTCTAGTCCCAGCTACTCTGGAGGCTGAGGCAGGAAAATCGCTTGAACCTGGGAGGCGGAGGTTGCAGTGAGCCAAGATGGCGCCATTGTACTCCAGCCTGGGCAACAGAGCGAGACTCCATCTCAAATATATATATATTTAGTTTTTGAATGAGTACAACATTAACATAGCTCAAAATTTACAAGAAATAAAAATGTGTACAGTAAAAGTTAATCTCCTTTCCACCCCATGACCCCTGACCACCCAGATCTCCCCAGAGGCAACCACTTATAAGTATACATTGTCTTCCCTGGTCCTTTCTTTGCTCATGAACACAAGTGGTTGGTTTCTACCTACAAAGTGTTCTCTACTTTTATTTTTTCTCAGTTGATTTATCTTGGAGATCATGCCAAATCAGTAAATATAGTTACCTCGTTCATTTTAACAGCCACATATGTAAATAATTCTAAAATGCACCATACTGTATTTAACTAAGCCCTTTGTTGATGAACACATAACATGGTCCAGTATTTTTCATTACAAACAATTCTACAATGACTACCCTTGTGTGTATACAGTTTTGCACATAAGCAAGCATATCTACAAGATAATTTCCTATAAAGGGAAATGCTGGGTAAGGAGCCAATGGTATGTTCATCTGTAATTTAAAAATCTTTTCGTTATGGGATTTTTCAAGCATTACAAAAGGAGACAGACTAGTAAGATAAACTACTGCATATCTATCATCAAACTTCAGCGATTATCCACAATCCATGGCTGATCGTATTTCATATAGATATAGGCCCTATCCATTTCCCCACCCCAAATTATTTTGAAACAACTCCAGACATAATGTTGTTTCACTAGGAAATATTTTGGCGCTGTTCTTGAAAAGCAAGGACTTAAGAAAAGAAAAATATATGTATGTGTGTAATCACACTATCACCCCTAAAATAAATTATTCATTAATACTAGAAAATATCCTGTCAGTGTCATATTTTCCCAGATTGTCTCATAAAAATTGATTTTCTACTAGTTTATTCTTTGATTAGAATCCAATAAGATCCAAAAAAACAAAAAACAAAAAGAATCCAATAATATCCATACATTGCAGTTGGCTAAGTCTTTTTTTAATCTATTGGTTTCTCCCTCCATCTCTCTTCTTTTTCTTTGTGCATTGTTGTTGTAGAAACTAGGTATGTTTGCTTCCAGAGTCTGGATTTTACTGATCCTATCAAATTACCACAGGGTCATTTAAAATGTTCTGCTACCCATTAGGTCAAAAATGAAACACAAAATTAAATCGCAGAATTTCTTAATAATAAAACAACATCGCTGAAACTATGTGGCACAGCTAAAGCAGTTATTAGAAGAAAAATAACAGAACTAAATAACTCTATCAGTAAAAAAAGCAAAGTTAAATGGATTACACCCATAAGTCAGAAAGCTTAAAAAAATCAAAATGTAAGACAAGAGGAAATCAGAAAGAAGATAAATGCAGAATTAATGTTTCATCATTTTAGGACTTGTTTTTACAAACTGCAGCTTAAGGCTCACCATTTGAGAACTAGGAGACCATTTCCTAATATGTAACGATAGCGACAACACTGCTAGGTAGCTGTCAGGGGCTGGGAGCCTTTTCTACACAAACTTTACTCTGAATTTCAAAATACTAGCCTGCCTTGACACTTAGCGGAAATTCAGGTAGGGTGGCCTTAACTCAGGTTCTTCAGGGAAGTGTCCCGTTTCAGGGACACCGTGGGGTGGGGTTAGGGGATGGCTGTATTCCGCACATCTAGTTCTGGCTGGGCTTATGGCAAGTCTCAGTCCTCTGGAGTCACCTGAGTGACTGAGGGATGAGAAGCATTTCTGATCCCGTAATATACCTACATGGTTTTGCCATCTACCAGACTCCAGTTCAAATCTCAGCTGGCACAGTTACCTTTCATGTGGCCTTGAGCAAATCTCTCTGAGCTGAACTTTCCTCACCATAAATCTGGTAAAAATCTTTACCTTAAGGAAGTGTGGATCAAATGAGATACCAGGTGGAGCTAGTGCTCACAGAGTGGAAGCTAAGGTGATGAAACCCTTGATTCTCAAGTTCTGTGATTCCATGATGGAGATCCATGAGGGCTACCAGATGGGGAGTATCAACTAAAAGAAAGCAATCACGGAGTTCTTCCTGCCTTCTCTGGAGGATGTATTCCTATGAGCTGCCCTGAATGTTAAAAATAATACACCTGCCCCCAAAAGTGCCTAGGACGCCTTTGTTGTCCACCTGCTCATCGTCCATCGGTTTCTGCAAGTGGACCAGTTACCTGCTCAGGAGCAAACGTTTCTATCACGATGCACCCTCTCCCAGGGATGGGCTCAGCCTGTGCTCTCCCTGCGACAATGTTGAACAGTGCCATCTGTCCCTACCCAGCGTCAGCCTCACTCAGAGGGCACAGGCTTGGAGTGTGGGAGGCACGCTCCCAGCTCACTTTGCTTTTCCCGCCCTGGAGGGGAATCCAGGATGTCTAACTAGTCTTCCGACCCCGAGAGGGAGAGGTGGGGATAGGACCTTCCTTTAGTCCCCTCCCTAGTGGAACGAACGATTCTTTACGGTCATCTGTGGGGTTCTTTTCGTAAAGAAGCATCTGCAGGGTAAGAAGGAAAAAAATCCACCGTGCAAATACATCCCAGGCACATGCCTCCGGAGAAGTGGCCCCGTCCTCCCTCCGCCGCCCCCGGCACCTCCTCGGGCTTCACCGGCTTCCTGCTCCTGGGAGCAGGCAGAGATCCCGGCGTGGGCAGACCCCTGCCACTGGCGTCCAGGCCCCGTCCGAAACTCACGCCCACGTCGGAGGAGACTCTCGGGATAACCACGGTGCTCCCAAGACCCGGAGGGCAAGAAGAAAGAGCCCTGGCAAACAAAGGGCACGGGCCGGGAGCGCCGCAGCCCGGGGCGGGGGCACGGCGACCGCTAGGCCAGGGGGCGCCCGCCCCCAGCGCCCCACGCCCGGTGCCAGCGAGCCGAGGCGTGCATCTCCTTATATGGTCAAATGACACGGAGGGGGTTCTCGAGGGCGGGAGCCGCGCAGCGCTCCACTCGGCCGGCAGCGGAGCCGCAGCCACCAGCCGCCCGCGCCCGCCCGCGCCGTCCGGGAGTCCCCGGGTCGCTGCGGCGCCGTGAGTACCTTCAGCTCCCTGCGCCCCAGAGGGAGGCCGAGGGGCTTAGCCACCAGGACTCGGAAGAGGGGGCCGAATCCGGTGCGAGACCCGGGGAGAGGGGAGCAGATCCGGAGTTGGGGAGACCGGTGAGTGGAGAGGAGAGCTGTGGGTCGTAGAAGACCACTGGGAGAGGGGAGCCGAACCGTGCGGAGAGAAGCCGGGAGAAAGGAAATGAGCTGTAGGGTAGACCCGGGAGAGGGGAGCAGATCCCTGGGGGCTGGGAGTGGGGAGACCACGGGAAGAGGGGAGCGGAGCAATGAGAGGGGGCTAGACCCTGGGGGCGCTAGAGCTCAGAGGAGCCCACGGACCCATCCCCAGAGAGGGGATTACAGCCCAAGTCCTCACCAGGTGGGGCACCGCCATGCGGGCAGGGGCTTGGCGAGCCTGGGTAAAGGCTGGCCGCGGGTCCCAGCCGGCGGCTGCGGGGAGGTGACGCTGTCCCCTTGCTTCAAGGCCCGACTCCGGAGCCGGTTGTCCTGGCACGGTGGTCTGCGCGGGGGTGTCCGGGCTATTTCCCTTCAGTAGAAATAAGTGGAGCTTGCAGTGTGACCTCACTCCTTGACTCGTGTAGACATATAATAACTGAACCATTCGGTTAAAAAAAAAGGTGTATTTTAAATGAAAAAGGTTCTAAGTTTTTCTTAAGTTGCACTCGTGTGATATCTTAGCATACTAGAAATTGAGGGAAGAAAATACTGTTTTTCTGATTTTAAGTGAATCAATCATATTTACTTTCATATCCCCAGTCAGGTTTTAATTGGAAGTAGGCTAACCCCGTTAGCTGAAATGTGTAGCTGGCCTCCAAGCAGCAGTGAACTTAGACAGCACTGAACTTAAGGCCCGCACTCCCTTCCACATATTTTGGAAGGTAATAAATCACAATTTGGGCTTAGAATCAGGAGAACTGTCTTCAAAACACAACTCCAAATACATCTCACATTTTTGGTGCTGACTCTACTAACGAATGTTTTATAATAATATATTAAAGAAAAGAGGTTTTGCACTATCCTGAAGATGTTTTAGACAAAAAAAAAAAAAATTTGCAGCAAGTCTTAGAAGTACAGGAATTCCTAGTCTATCAATTTAATTTTAATAAAATCAAACTCAAAGAACATTTCATTGTGCATTTATATAAATTTTTTTCAAGTGTTACTGGATTTAGATCACCCTCCAATTTAGAAGATCATCAATTGATACATAGAATTGTGTTTTCATGGTGTTTATTAGCCTGCCATGGTTTAAAATGCGTTTACACCATCATATGTCAATGAAGGCTAATGATGGGCTTACTAAAGACCAGAAACTGTTCTGGGCACATAGATTCTGTCTCATTTTAGCTCACGGTCTCACAAATAGCCACAGGCAGATGCGGTAGGCTAGAGGATGCGGGGGACTGCATCTAGGCTGCCTAAATTTACATCCGGGTCCCTCAACCTGTGCAGCCTGGGCCAAATCACTTCATCTCGTGGTGTCTCGGTTTCCTTCACTGGGAAACAGTGACAATGATGTTGTCTCTTTGGCAGGGTTGTTAAAAAGTCTGGACATCATAGACAGTGTGTACATATTTGATAGCCTCATTTTTACAGGTAAAGACACTGAAAACAGAGATCAAAGTAACTTTAACTCAGGGTTTCCCAGGCTGTAAATGGTAGCCCTGAGATCTGACCCCAGGCAGCTTAACTTGAGAACCTGAGTTCTAACCCTAAACACACCACGGGAGGAACATTTGAATATTTATTTATTTTTTAACATTTGAATATTTCTATGAGGCCTTATGCTGCATTCTTTGACCCAAGATTGCGTGTTAAGCCACTTCCAGTACTGAAAGATATTTAAATTGCAGTCAAAAACACCCAGTAGAATATTGCACACACACACACACAAATCAGACTAGATAGCAGGAGTTTACTCCCGTCCTGTGCTGAGGGCCAGTTATTCAGCCTCTGTGACTCAGGCAGCTTCCTTTGTCAGCACCGGGGCCTGAGCTGGTAAAGTTGGTAAGCGGCTCTCTGACTCAGATGCCCTGAGGTAAAAAGTTCCTTGAGCCTGGGTGAATGGAAATGTCAGACGTTGGGTTCTTCTGTGCGGTTTTATTATGAGAATTTGATCAAAGCCACATTTATTAAGTGTCCATCTCAGGTTGCGTCATACTGAAGCCGCTTCCTCAAGATGACCATCTGAAACAAAATGCATGTGCTTTCTCTAGGGGCTGAGAACTGTGTCTTCCTGGAGACTAGGCTGGCATTTTGACTTTGGGGTGAGTCAAATGAATTTCCTCTGTCATCCTAAATTGTGGATTTCAGTTTTAGCTCCCGTGATGATTACTTTCATGTGTCAACTTGACTGGGCCATGTGGTGCCCAAACATTCGGTCATGTGTTCTGGGTGTGTCTGTGAGGGTGTTTTTGGATAGGATTGACATATGAATGGGTAGACCGAGTCAAGCTGGCTGCTCTCCATAATGTGAGTGGGCCTCCTCCAAACAGTTGAAGGCCTGAATAGAACGAAAAGACTGAGTAAGAGGGAAGCCCCGCTGCCGGACTGCTTGAGCTGGGACATTGGTCCTTTCCACCTTTGGACTCACATTGAAACATCGGCTCTTCTTGGGTCTATAGAGGCTGCCGTTTTCAGACTGCAACTTGCACCATCGGCTCTCCTGGGTCTCCAGCCTGCTGACTGCGGGTCTTGGGACTTTTTCACCTTCGTACTTGCGTGAGATAAATCATTGCAACAAATCTCTCTATGTACATCTCTTGTTGGTTCTATTTCTCTAGAAAACCCTGACTACTACAGCTCTCTGGTAGCATCTACTTAAATATTCTCCCCACCAGCTGTCATTCTCCCTTTCTTAAAGATTTGATCACTACTTTGCTCCTGGGAGTCTTGGCTTTCCTCTTGCTGTAAAACATGCTCTCTGCATGGGAATGTCACAAGGGGTCTGGAGCAGCATCTGGTCTCCCGGGTCCATCCCAGTGCTTGTGGGTGGTGCCTTGCCTGGTGTGAACTCAGACTTCACACACATCTTCAGCCTTCGTGACCCATGCCTTTACTGCCCTGATTCTGTCTGCGGCTTCAAGATCCTCCAGGCGTACAGTCCTGAGTGAGATGAGGGATGTCTGTGGCAGAAGCAGCTGCCCTTTTTTCATGGGTGAACAGAATTAATGCCAGAATGTCCTTGCAGTATATAAATATGGAGCTTGTCAGTCAACAAGGAAATAGACCTGTCTGTTTGGGTTAATACAACTTTCGGAGGCAGTGAAAAGCAGGCAGGCAATGAATGAAGCAGAAGGAAGCGTACAAGCCTCTCGGGACACAGCCCTGTTGCAGTGTGCCAGAGAAACCCCACAGAGCCGCAGGACTGCAGTGAGAAGGAGGTGGCCAGTCATTCACGGAAGCTGCTGGACACCAAGGGAAAGGCCAGCATGGGAGTAGGGGTCATAGGCACCTCAGATGGCTGGGAGAGTGAAGAGTGAGCCACACTTGGGAGGTGAGAGGAGACCCCTGCCATGAAAAAGAGTGGGTGGTTTTCATTTTGTAGGTGTAGAAGTGTTCGTAACTCACTCAGGGAAGGCATGGTAGAGCCATAGCATGCAGGATGGAGTCGCCCTCGGTCCCTACACTGGTGTGATTGACGGACCCGAGGCCACCCGCCATTCTAGCCTGTGCAGCTATGGTTGACCTGCGTGGCTGCAATTGACGTGTTTTGAGATTAAACGACAAGATGGGATCTTAAAGGTGTTTAAATTATTTGGAGCTAGAACTAGACTGGAACTCATTCATAGACTGTGTGTTTTATCTCAGCTTCCCGGTGCCTCACGTAGCACATGGAAAACAGTGGTTACTCAACACATTCTTGTCGGCTGGATTCAAAAGCCTGAATGACATCAGAACAAGTATAACTCCTCTTGTAGTCATGGACTTCAGATCAGAAATTTGATATTTATTGTTTTCCCATTTCTTTTTAGTAATCAATATTCAAAAGATAATTCAGAAGACAGCAGTTTACCTTATTCAAACATTGCCTCACACAGAACCACCAGAGATGAATGGAGATGTTTATTTATTTATTTTTAATTTGGAAGTTACCAGTTTATGTAAACTATAATACACCTCTGACACCTGCCTGTACATGCGTGTAGTAAAGGCTCATTAAATTAATCCGTAAATATATTATACAGTGGTAAGCTAGTCAATTTTATACCTTACAAACCAAGATTGTTTAAAATCCAACAATTTAAAAATAGATTTCCAGTGGATGCTAGATGACTTTTTTTCTTTCTTTCCTTCTTTTTTTTTGTTTTTTTTTTTGTTTTTCAGGGTTTCACTATGTTGCTCAGGCTGGAGTGCAGTAGCTTTTCACAGATGCTATCATAGCTCACTATAGCCTCAAACCCCTGGGCTCAAGCAGTCCTCCTGCCTCAGCCTCCCAGGTAGCTAAGACTGCAGGCACACACCACCATATCCAACTGATATAATTTTTTGTTTGTTTGTTTGTGGAGACCGGGTCTTACACTATGGCCCAGGCTGGAGTATAGTGGCAGCACTACAGCTAACTGCAGCCTCGAACTCTTGGGCTCAAGAGATCCTCTTTCTTTAGGAACTCCAAGGCTTGATCCGTTATTCTAGTTTATAAAACAGCAACTTTCCTTGACATGATGGCCCTCTCCATTTCATCAGAATTTCTGTTTAAAACAAATCGTTTGGCTAGACAAATGACGAGTGTTGGGGGTGAGCAGTTTTTGTGTGTAGACACTCCCATCCATAGGAAAACAAAATGGTGCAGGGTATTCTTTGAGCACATTTTCAGGTGTGAGAGTCCCGTGCCTTTGAATGGAGGATCTTTGATTATAGGCAACACGTGTCTGTAGAACATCAGGGCCTTGTGCTGACACCTGGAGCCTGTGTTGGGGATCTGTGCGTTCTTCCCAAAGCGGGCAAGACTCCCAGCTGGCTTTTTGCTTCTTGACCTGGCCAGGCTGCATCCTGGACTGTGCAGCTGTGTGTTCACATGGGATTGGAGTCCAAACACAACAAGAAGAGTTCTATCCGCTGCGGAAGCAGCAGCTTATCTGGAGGGAGGGACGAGGGCAGCGATGGAAGCTCATGATGTCATATGCCAAACCACATTACATGTTGGGTTTGCTATGCAGGGTGGATTGTTCACATAATATGTTCCTAATTTTTCATGCTTGATTTTTGCCTGTATGTTTGTACTCCGACATGTTTGCATTCACTCACCCATCCATTCATTTGTTCATGCATTCCACAAGTATTCACAAAGCCCGTGGTCCTGTGTGTGTTCCCTGCTGGTGAGGTCTCAGCGACAGGTAGTGGCACCCTTCCCAATGCTTACGGTTGGCAGAGGACAGGGCAATTGCATGAAAACATGACACTTTTATAATATATTTTTTAAAAGAGCCCACATAGACCAGTTTTCCTAATTGGCTCTGGAAAGCTCTGGTTGATTATTGATAGGCAATTGAATGTCCCATGCGGATCCCCGGTGGCATCTAAAGATCCAGAGACTGACTTACCAAAGCTGCTTTTGCATGTGTTGAAGGGCTGCATGCAGGAAGAACTTGGGAACATTCATAGATTTCTCCTTAGGAAATGACTACATTAGAGGAACCTCCTGCAGCAGGGTTGATAGGGAGAAGCACTTCGGGTTTCAAAGGGGAAGGAGAAAATGGGCCCACTGGGGTCAGATGAAAGTAGGTAGCCAATAAAAGGTGCATTGAAAAGGATGCTTAAATAGACTTCTTTTGCTAATCTGACCTCTTCAGGCTTAACCTGTAGGGATCTGCTAGGCTCCTGGAACTCCAAGGCCTGAGCCAACAAGCCAAGCGAGGCTGTCTATCATGGCAGCCCTTCCTTTGATTGAAATCTTTCTGGTTAAAAAAAAAAAATTAGCTGGGTGTGGTGGGACACACCTGTAATCGCAGCTACTTGGGAGGCTGAGAAAGGAGAATCGCTTGAACCTGGCAGGTGGAGGTTGAAGTGAGCTGAGATCGGGCCACTGCACTCCAGCCTGGGTGACAGAGTGACACTGTCTCAAAAAAACAAAGAGCTTTCTGGCATATGGGGTCCTTGCCTCTCTTCTGCCTCATTTCATTTACCCCCCCTCCTTCCTTTCTTTGTCCTGTCACTACTCCTCTCCCCTTCCCTTTACTCTTTCTGTTTTCCTTTTCCCATTATGTTCCTCTAGCTTTGACACTTTCCCCACTCATACTTTGTTTTACAGTTTTTGAATCTGAAAATTTTAAAAATAGATCACATTGATAAGCTTGTGAACTTTTAAAATTAGTATGAATTGTTAGTAGGAGCTGTGCATTGTCGCTTCCTGGCCCTCTGAACCTTTATTCTTACATGCTTTTTATTTATTTATTTTTTGAGACATGGTCTGTGTCACTATGAGGCTGTTTCCTTGAGGTGGGAGAGCAGGGGTCCTATCGTGGCTCACTGCAGCCTCGACTTCCTGGGCTCATGCCTCCTGAGTAGTGGGGACTACAAGTGCATGCCACCACACCTGGCAAATTTTTGGTGTTTTTTGTAGAGATAGGATTTCTCCATGTTGCCCAGGCTGGTCTTGAACTCCTGGGCTCAAATGATATGCCTGCCTCAGTCCCCCAAAGTACTGGAACTACAGGCATGAGCCCCTGTACGCAACCTATTCTTATATCTGAGTCAAAGCTGGGCTGGCGAGAGACTCAGAGATCAAGGCCTTCCCTGGGCCATCCCCAGACCTCCGAGCTGCACCTGGCACCTGCCTCAACCATGGCAGTTCCCTTGACCTGGAGTCAAGCCTGTACCCTAAGATCCACCTTTTTCAAATACCCTGTTCAGGGCCGAAGGGGTAATGACATCATGGAATGATTTAGCTTGGTGAGGAATAAGAACTCCAGGAAACTGTGATTTGGAATTTGATTCAATGAAATAACAAGAAGGGGTGGCACCTTATGTTTGGGTATCTCCCTGCAAGCTGTTGCCGGATGCTTTTAGCATTCCTGTGTACCAGCTAAGGGGCAAGAATTATTGATAACCTGTCAGGAGGGATGAAGAGTTCAGAGAGAGTAAATGGATTGTACACAATTAGGTTAATAAGTCCTTAGAGAACAAAGATGTCCTACTTTTATTTGAAGAAATGATTCAGAAATGGACTGTGATACCCTGATACATTTTTTAGAAGTCATTGCCCCCCGTCTTGCATAGTAAAGGCAGGCTTCCATGCAGTAAACTTTCACTGGGCTGTCTGTCACCCCACTGCCTGCTTGGCACACCCAAGTCCATGAACAAGGCGCCCAGGCCCTCATTGCCTTGGCTGTTGACTGGGTCTTCCATCTTCCTGAGCTCTCTGCCTACCCTACTCTGTCTCTCATTTCTCTGGCTTTGCCTACTCCACCCCGAGACCTGACCTTCCGTATCACCTGGCTGACCTGTTCCCAGCACAGATAGCATCTCCCCTGGGATGCCTGCCTGCTCTCTCAGCGACTCCTCCTCTGCGTGCCCATCATACCGTGCACCTCCAGCACGCACTGAGTACGGGGCTTGGTAGTCTGTTTGGTATATATCTCTTTTCCTCACCAGATGACAAGTTCCTTGAGGGCAGGGGCCTGCATCTTAGTCATCTTTGTATCTTCAGCACTTTTTGTGACATTAGACACATAGTTCCAGCTCAACCAATGTTTATTCAATGAATGAATGAGCAATCAGGTATTTATGGGATTTAAAAAAAATGCAAGTGACTGACGCCTGTAATCCTAGCACTTTGGGAGGCCAAGGTGGGTGGATCACCTGAGGTCAGGAGTTTGAGACCAGCCTGGCCAACATGGCGAAACTCCGTTTCTACTAAAAAAAAAAAAAAATTAGCTGGGCGTGGTGGCGCGTGCCCATAATCTCAGCAACCCGGGAGGCTGAGGCAGGAGAATTACTGAAACCCAGGAAGTGGAGGCTGCAGTGAGCCGAGATCATGCCACTGCACTCCAGCCTGGGTGACAGAGCAAGACTCTGTTTCAATTAAAAAAAAAAAAAAAAAAAAAAAAAGCAAGTTATAGGAGATTTCTAATATAGGACTATAGTTACACTTTTAAACATGTTGTAATAGAAGGGAAGCTTTGAGCTTGCTTATTGACTCCCAGACTGTTTATTCTGACGCTCAGGGTTTGTGCAGTATGTAACTGTGTGGACCTCCTTCAGGGGCCTGCTTTCACACAGTGCATCCTGCTGTGCTCCTAGGTTCCTGCAGGTGCCCATTTTATGCTCTGTCCTGTTGGTTGGAGTAGAAATGCTCTCTGCTCATTGTAGAAGTCTACTGACCTCTTAGAAGATGAGGAACAAGTTGGAAGAGGGATCCACCCACTCTCAGAAAGAATTCTGTAGAATTAGAAGCTGAACCACAGGGCCAGGTGCCTCCTCCCAGGTGGACCCACTGAGCAGATAGCAGCTGCTACTGTTCCTGCTAGGAGCTGGTATCACTGATGATGACATTCATAACCTGAGTCATACTTTGAGCAAATGTAGAACCCTACTTATTTTCAGAGTTTATTCCCTTAGATTTTTTTTTTTTTTTTGAGATGGAGTCTTGCTCTGTCGCCCAGGCTGGAGTGTAGTGGCACGATCTCAGCTCACTGCAAGCTCTGCCTCTGGGTTCACGCCATTCTCCTGCCTCAGCCTCCCAAGTAGCTGGGACTACAGGCGCCCGCCACCACGCCCAGCTAATTTTTTTTGTATTTTTAGTAGAGATGGGGTTTCACCGTGTTAGCCAGGATGTTCTCGATCTCCTGACCTTGTGATCCGGCCGCCGTGGCCTCCCAAAGTGCTGGGATTACAGGCGTGAGCCACCGTGCCTGGCCAGATTTTTTTTTTTTTTCTGTCCTGGTCCTGTAGATTCGGAGGAGGTGAAAAACATATATCAGGTTATGAGCATCATGATCATGATTATTACCTCAGAGGAAAACAGATGCACCCCTTTCACCAGCTGCCAACAGAATTGGAGCTCTGCAGAGATTGACAGAGGGTGTAGACTGTCTCCCTTCCCTAGCAGGGCTGGTGCTTGTCCTGACCCACACAGACGGCCTTTCAAGTTAGATTGGGAGTTCATTTTCTCTAAGTCAGATGGCCATTTGAGAAAGCTCAGTGGGCCCTCCTTTTCATAAATATGCCTGGGCTTCAGTTTTTCCATCCATAGAATGAGGAAGTTGTCATAGAGAATCTGGGGATTTGTTTCCAGCTTTTACAATTCCACAATGTATAGTTCTCTGTCCTTTCATGGTTCTTATTTCAAATTCCCAAGTTATTATTCTTATGTTTGTGGGCACAGAATGGCCCATGAGCCTCTTGTCCCACAGCTAAATCACACCTTTTATCGGAAAAATATATATGTTGGAAAAGCAGCTCTCAATTGCGATGAAATAAATGACAGCCACTTTCAAGGCCAATAACTGAACAATTACAGGAAAGCATTGAATCTTGTGCCAACATGGCTGCTCCAACCCGAGATGGCCGCGGTACAAAGGATATTTATACGTTGGGTTTCAGAACAATAATTCAAGTGCTCAAGAGCCTCATCTTGTGATGTTATCACAAGAATGTCCAGGCAATGTTTTCTTTAACTCCAGGAAGAGTGATTTAGAAGGACGGATCTTGCCACATGTGTCCAGCTGCGTATTTATTGCTCTTGGAAGAGAATTATTCTGTAAACACAGAAATATCCAAGAATGGATGCTTGAAAGATGATCTTTTCCTTGCTTACAGTTGTCAGGACCGTGTATATGCAATAGTACAAAATTAATAAACTCTATCAAATTTCCTGTAATCATAAACCAGGCAGCAATATTTTATTTGCATCAGAAGGTCTGATTCTGGGATTTCACTCTCCTATCGTTTGAAGACTGCAAATTGAACCAAGTTTTCTTAGAGCCTGTGAACTCTTGCTCACAGTTACATAGCCAACCAGTCTACCTATTTTTTTTTTTTTTTTTGAGACGGAGTCTCACTCTGTCACCCAGGCTGGAGTGCAGAGGTGCCATTATCAGCTCACTGCAACCTCCACTTCCTGGGTTCAAACGATTCTCCTGCCTTAGCCTCGTGAGTAGCTGGCATTACAGGCATGCACCACCGTGCCTGGCTAATTTGGTTTTTGTTTTGTTTTTTGTATTTTTAGTAGAGACAGGGTTTCACCATGTTGGCCAGACTGGTCTCGAGCTCCCGACCTCAGGTGATCCACCAGTCTCAGCCTCCCAAAGTGCTGGGAATACAGGCGTGAGTGACCGCACCCAGCCTGGTGTACCTATTTAACAACAGAGAAAACTTTCCACTTTTAGGAAATGGAATATTGCCATTTATTCCTGAAGAAACTTGTCTGTTTTTAATGCCCTATGGACGTTTCTCCACACCAGCTATTCCTGTGGTAGGCGTTTTCTCTCCAGGATCATTCTGACATGATTTTATAGGAATGGTCATAAGAGAAGGGCCCATCCCTTGCTGCTTATGCACACCATGTATTCATCCTAGGAAAAGTGCAGTGTGCCGGGCGTGGAGACGCCTTTTTTTGAACTTTTATTTTCGGTTCGGGGTACATGTGCAGGTTTGTTATATAGGTAAACTGTTGTCACAGGGGTTTGTTATACATATTATTTCATCACCCAGGTATTAATCCTAGTACCCAAGTGTTACCTTTTCTGCTCCTCTCTTTCCTCCCACCCTCCCTCCCTGCTCAGGTAGACCCCAGTGCCTGTTGTTCACCTCTTTGTGTTCATGTGTTCCCTCATTTAGCCCCCACTCATAAGTGAGAACATGCAGTATTTGGCTTTCTGTTCGTGCATTAGTTTGCTAAGGATAATGGCCTCCAGCTGCATCCGCGTTCCCACAAAAGACATGATCTCATTCTTTTTTATGGCTGCATAGTATTTCATGATGTATATGTACCACCATATGTTTTCTTTATCCAATCTGTCATTGCTGGGCATTTAGGTCGATTCCATGTCATTGGTATTGTGAAAAGTGATGCAATGAACATTCCTGTACATGTGTCTTTATGGTAGAATGATTCGTATTTCTCTGGGTGTATACCCAGTAATGGGATTGCTGGGTCAAATGGTAGTTCTGTTTGTAGCTCTTGGAGGAATCTCCATACTGCTTTCCACAGTGGTTGAACTCATTTACACTCCCACGCACAGTGTATAAATGTTCCCTTTTCTCCGCAACCTCGCCAGTGTCTTGTTCCTGTTGAAAGGGCTTGAAGTGTTGCCCAGAGAGCCACTGACTGCAGCCACTGCATTTCTGACTATTCCATATCGTTGTTTTGGGAAGTGAATCTTTCCCTTTATCCTGCTTTCAGGATACCTGGGCAGCCGCAGGATGATCTTTCCCATAGGGAGCAATGATTCATCCTCAGGGACTTTGGCAGTTTTTCTTGTGCAAGGTCAGCTTGCACTCCCAATGCAGCACTGAGGTCAAGGGTAATAGTGGCCTCATTGCATCTACTCTCAGGTTTCCCAGGTCAGATCTCCCTCCCTTTTGCCGCTGTGATTTCTTCCTATTCAAATCATGAATCATAAAGAGGAGCTCATGGAAAATCTTTTTATAGAAATGGACACATTATTTCTATGCCTGCCTTTCTATTTTGGGGGCAGGGAGAAGGGGAAGATGCAAGGCTGGGTCACAGCCGGACAGGATGGGGGCTCTGGTGCCAGCCCTTACCTGTATTTAAAACTGAGATAGCTTTTTCTGACACAGTAAAAAATAATTTGTGCTTTTCAAGAAGTGGAATGTGACCAGGTGTGGTGGCTCACGCCTGTAATCTCAGCACTTTGCTAGACGAGGCGGGCAGATCACCTGAGGTCAGGAGTTTGAGACCAGCCTGGCCAACATGGTAAAAGCCTGTCTCTACTAAAAATATAAAAATTAGCTGGGCATGGTGGCAGGCACCTGTAATCTCAGCTACTCGGGAGGCTGAGGCAGGAGAATCGCTTGAACCTGGGAGGCAGAGGTTGCAGTGAGCTGAGATTGCACCACTGCACTCCAGCCTGGGCAAAAGAACAAGACTCTGTCTCAAAACAAACAAACAAACAAACAAACAAACAAAAAACAAAGTGAATGCATTCAAACACAAAACTGCCTTAGCTAATGAAAAAGAAAACAAAAAAGGTGTTATCATTGAAAATTATGACCTATTAAAGGGTGAGTTTTAATTATTCATCCAGAGGAATTAACCACCTTTCAGCTAAAGATGACAGACAGTGGGACAGTTAATGTATTTGTGTGCATCCCTTTCAGAGAGTGCTCAATGGGACCTGGATTTTCCCTTCTTTTTGATAGGTTGCTGAAAAGCCAGGTGTCAAAATGACCGAGCGCTTTGACTGCCACCATTGCAACGAATCTCTCTTTGGCAAGAAGTACATCCTGCGGGAGGAGAGCCCCTACTGCGTGGCGTGCTTCGAGACCCTCTTCGCCAACACCTGCGAGGAGTGTGGGAAGCCCATCGGCTGTGACTGCAAGGTACCTGCCACGGGACTCTGCGGGTCCCCGGTGCTCCCCCAAGAAACACGGGCTTCTCTGTGATTTGTGCTGAAGCCCTGATCCACCACTGAAGTCTGTCTCTTGAGCCCCCTCCGAGAGGTGCGGACCCTGCACGTAGCCTTTCGGAAGCTTCTTCCCTCTAGCTAATGTGATCTCTGCCCACAAGCACTGGGTGAGGGCCTTGCCAGGACTTTCGTGCTTAGTGTCTCTGAGTACATTTTCTGTGTTCTAGTTATTAGTGCCCTTATCTAACCACCCAGCTGCCTACCAACACTGTAACTTTCTTAAGGGCGGTGCTCTCTTCCTCTTGTCTGTTTGCCCCATGGTGAGTAACGCGGAGCAGGTGCTGTGCTCAGTCAATATTTGATGAATGAATGTGTACATGAGAGAACCAGAGTGGGTTCCTGGATAAATGGGCACATAAAAGCACAAAGTCCTTGGAAGATTGTGGGCTCTTTTCCTTTAATGAGAGAAGGACAGGATTTGTATTGTTTCCTTTCAATGGGGAAACGCGTTCACGGCTCTCCTGGGATGGCACAGCGTGGTTCAGCAGAGACCACTGGTCACTTGTACCAGTATTTAACAGGCCAAGCATGAGAGTTCAGCCACCAGACTGCCCAGTTCCAGCCCGGGCTCCGTGTCTCACTTGCTGTATGGCCTTGGGTCAGTTACTTGACCCTTCCGTGCACATCCCCACATCTATAAAATGGGGAGAACCCGGCCAGGCACATAGGCTCGACGCCTATAATCCCAGCACTTTGGGAGGCCAAGGCAGGCGAATCACTTGAGGCTGGAGTTGGAGACCAGCCTGGCCAACATGGTGAAACCCTGTCTCTACTGAAAATACAAAAATCTAGCTGAGTGTGATGGTGCATATCTGTAATCCCAGCTACTTGGGAGGCTGAGGCACGAGAATCACTTGAACCTGGGAGGTGGAGGTTGCAATGAGCCGAGAATCATGCCACTGCACTCCAGCCTGGGAGACAGAGTAAGACTCTCTCTCAAAAAACAAACAAACAAACAAAACTGGGGAGAACCAGGGGTCTGCTTCATAGGATGGTTCCAATATGTAGCTACAAGCCCTCACGCTCTTCTAGCAGCGGACAGGGTAAGTTCCAGACTGCCCCCTTTCTGCTGACTGCTTCCTTAGTCTTTTTTTTTTTTTTTTTGAGACAGAGTCTCGCTCTGTCACCCAGGCTGGAGGGCAGTGGTGCGATCTGGGCTCACTGCAAGCTCCACCTCCCAGCTTCATGCCATTCTCCTGCCGCAGCCTCCTGAGTAGCTGCGATTACAGGTGCCCGCCACCTCGCCCGGCTAGTTTTTTGTATTTTTTTTTTTTTTAGTAGAGATGGGGTTTCACTGTGTTAGCCAGGATGGTCTCGATCTCCTGACCTCGTGATCCGCCCGTCTCGGCCTCCCAAAGTGCTGGGATTACAGGCTTGAGCCACCGTGCCCGGCCGCTTCCTTATTCTTTTTGTGACATGTCCCTTCCACACACCTTTCAGACACTTCACCCTCTCTCTTTGTCGCTTTTCATTTTGGAAACATCAATAAAAATGTCCAGTTTGAGGAAGAACTAGACGGCCCGAGAAAAATACAATGATAAAACTTCACCTGGAAAAGAAATACTTAAGTAGGTGAGTGGTTCAGATACCATCTGGCAAAGGGTAACTCTCACTTTCAAGGACAGATTTTGGGTATTTGGGGCTAATCATCCCTGATCAGTGGCTGAAATAAAAACAAAACAAAAAATCACTTGCCGTTTCTCCAGTGAGTTAGTGGAAAGATCCTTAAAACCAGTCATCCTGGGCCGGGCGCGGTGGCTCAAGCCTGTAATCCCAGCACTTTGGGAGGCCGAGATGGGCGGATCACGAGGTCAGGAGATCGAGACCATCCTGGCTAACACGGTGAAACCCCATCTCTACTAAAAAATACAAACAATTAGCCGGGCGAGGTGGCGGGCGCCTGTAGTCCCAGCTACTCGGGAGGCTGAGGCAGGAGAATGGCGTGAACCCGGGAGGCGGAGCTTGCAGTGAGCTGAGATCCGGCCACTGCACTCCAGCCTGGGCAACAGAGCGAGACTCCGTCTCAAAAAAAAAAAAAAACAAAAAACCAGTCATCCTTCCACGCATGTTTTATGAGCAAATAAACAAGAGTCTCCCAAATGCAGCCAAAATCATCCAGGCTGCTGTCAAGCCAGGAGTGAATTGTGCTGAGCTTTTCAACTCGGATTCATGTTTTGAGATACGTGGGGTTACACTGTATGATTTTCTACATTTTGGAACAAAAAGAGACATTGAGTTGAAGCGAGACCTTGGCATTTGGGGCTTTTGATGCTTTAGGCGTGATTTTCTTGACTTTCAAAAATAAGCAGGTAGTTGGGTTTGTAGTGGAAGCAATGACAGAAAAGAAATGTTCCTGTTTTTTTCTGGAAGTAAAGCCCACAGTCCTGGCAGGCGGGGAGATACCTGATAGAGGAACTGCGCTCTTAGGTCTGGTGGCCAATGTCTTCTCTTAAAATAGCACAGCCACCACGGGCCTCAGCTACTTCTCTCTAAAGGATGTGTTCATGTGTGTACATTTTAAATGTTGGCATGCCTATAGGAATTAGGCTAATTTTGAGAGTCCTGACCTACTTCAATGAGACAGGCAAGACTTCAGAGCCTGTTCTATAGTTTGAACATCCTCTCTATGTAGCCACTGAATTGTAACCTTTTTTTCTATTAAGTTACTCTGGGAAAATGCTGTGATCTCAAAGGGTAAAGATTATTGATTTGTATGGCCAGTGTAATAGTGGAGACTAGGCAGTGCTAATACAATGTTATGATCCTCTGACATTACACCCTTCCTGAATGTTTTCTTGGATACCTGTTAATATTAACAAAATATTTTTGTAGACTGATTACAGAGTTTTTGGGAGATCTACCTATGTTCTGGGCTTCAAAAATTCAACAAACTAAAGAAAAAATAGGGCTGAGCACAGTGGCCCATGCCTATAATTCCAGCACTTTGGGAGGCCGAGGCAGGTGGATCACTTGAGGCCAGGAGCTGGAGACCAGCTTGGCCAACATGGCAAAACCCCGGCTCTACTAAAAATACAAAAGTAAGCTGGGTGTGTTGGTGTGCACCTGTAATCCCAGCTACTTGGGAGACTGAGGCAGGAGAATATTTTGAACCTGCTAGGCGGAGGTTGCCTTAAGCCGAGATCGTGCCACTGCACTCCAGCCTGGGTGACAGGGCGAGACTCCATCTTAAAAAAATAAAAATAAAAAATAGGCTGGAGTTCCAGAGATGGCTGCTAATACTGTGCATTTAACAAGTTGGTGATTTTAAGTCCTGGGTGACACACCTAACCCAGATTTTGAATGTTCCATGGGTTTGCAAGCAATGCCATGAAATCGGACGGGTTACCACACCCACCTATGTGCGTAGAGGGTGCTACGAAGAGAAAAAATTAATAATAAACAAGAACAAAAGATCTGCAGATCAGAAACTAGCATTCTGGGTTTAGCTTTTAGTGGTAGTCATTGAAACCACCGTGTGTCACCTGATGACTTGTTCCAGGCACTTGTAAATGCCTACACTGCATGATCTAAATTCCTCCTAACACCCTATAGTAAGAACTTTTTTCATTCCATTTTATGGAGTAGTCGCTGAAGCCTAGAGAGGATGAGGATCCTGCCCAGGGTTAACAGGATTAGGAAGAATCCGAGGTACAATTTGAGCCCAGACCTGGAGGGTCCTCACCTAGCATGCGATGCCACCTGCCACCTGCAACCTTGGACAGGACCCTGTCTACGCGACTCTCGGGCCAGATGTAGTCAGTCCCTGTGAGTAAGAGGTGGTGACCACCTGGCCTCTATCAAGTGACCTTCAGTCAAAGGCCCCTACTCTTCTCGTGGCCCCCTTTAGATGGTCATGATTGCAGAAGTGAGGCTCAAGTTGTTTCACAAACTCTTTCCAGCTTTTGTAGTTAATTAAATAGGAAACATTGAAGTGATGATCAAATTGGCGGAGGTTTACCCATCATGCTGTAAAAGTCTCAGTTAATGTTTGGTAATGGACAGAAAAGTTCAGTGGTATTTTGGCAGAAAGCAACCTGTCTCTGAAATAGGAGACGAAGGTTTTCACACATGCGGGTTAAATCTAGATGCCTCTGGTATATTTTGGAAGGTTTCTGACCAAGCCTAGTGAAAGGTGTAAGGTCAGGTTTGAAAAATCCATCCTTCTGTCCTTGGTGTGACACAGGACTCCCCCGCTGGTCTTTCTGGACTCTTTTCGGGGAAGAGCAGCTACTCCAGTCACATTCTCAGGGTCCAGCCTGCCAACCTGGTGCTTTTTTATTTGTTGGGGTGGTTTTTAAGTTCTCAATGAGAAAACTACCTTTTTGGATCTTCTTCCATGTAGAATTTGTCCACAGAGTTTGTAACGAGCAATGAAAACGTGTATTTATTTGGATTTCCTCCTACAAGAGAAAAGTCTGTTTGTGAAGGTAATTTAATCAAGGAGGGTCCTAGGATCAGGAGCAAAGCTGTTTGGATGGATTCCATGAGAAGGACCTGTCAGTGTGTGAAACCAAAAGTTCAGCCACAAGACATAGCAGCAGAGGTGCACAGAGCTCAACAGTGACGTCGCATGCACCGAGGCCGGACCCCGGAGCCGAATCTCCCTGGCTCCACCTTTGACGAGCTGCACGAAGGGGACAAGTCCTGCCACCTATAAGTCTCCGTTTCCATGTCTATAAACTGGGGTTCCGAGCTCATGGGACTGTCGGGGTAATTGAATGAGTTGACGTCTAGGGAGACCTGTGACGTGCCAACACAGAGCTGTCATTTCTGCTGTTGTCCATTTTTCTGCATCTTTATTTGTAAGGATTTGAAAGAATGTACAGTTGGAAACCTGATGATCTCAAGCATAGAATATCTTTTCATAATGCTGAGCATGAATGATGTGAGAATCCATTGCTGAAGTGAAATCGT